ACCATACGAATAGTATAAACGTACCCCTTGCAGTTTTCCAGCTTGATTCTCAGTTTTTTAGTTATTCTCCTCGAAAATGCTTTAAATAGATGCATGGGAGAGATGACCATTTTCACATTCGCTACTTTCCCAAGAAGTTCCCACCTGAGCCAAAGTCAACCCGAAAGAACCAGAGTGGTCATTGAACTCAATCAACTGCTAAGTATACTTCTTTCTTGCAAGCCGTATTAGCCCCATTGAGAAGGGGGAACAACGTCACGAAGAACCCCTGAGCCCTTAATCGAATCCGGCATCTAAAATGATCTTCGTACTCGATTTGTGGTTAGAAGAGTGCTCATCGAGATCTTATAGATGAACTCGGTCGAGAGAGCAATCGTTTTCTACTGGAATGAGCTTACACACTCAGGTAAACACTATTTTCGAAGTAGATATTTGTTGACTGTCTCAAAAAAGGCTAAATGAAAAAAAATGGCTCTGAGTATTAGCCAGTGGTAACTTCTTTAACAAGTCCTTGAAAACTAATTACTGTGAAAGCTATCCTGCAGAGTGGTTACTGGATAGGAAAAATACACTGGAAGGAGCTTCTGGGTACCTCTTATCAGGGGTTTCTCAGAAGATCGCTATCTGAGAAATCTTTTTTTCCTCTATATGAATACCTTTCCTTTTTTCCTCTATATGAATATAGGGATCTGCCCTTATCAACCGCTACCACTTCCTATTACCTACTACCAATGTTCCTATTCTGTCTCCTTCATTGCTTCCAATTTGGAACGCTCTAGGTCCAGGGGACAGGAGTTATGAATTTTCGGTCAAACATAAACACATGGGCACACACATGCACACACACACATACAGACACACACCACACACATACATACATACACACATACATACACATACATACACAAATACACACACACTCACACACACGTACTGATACTTGCCGATACACACGCACATACGCACATCCATACGACATACACACACGCAACGACAAACCAACACTAAACGCCGACACACCGATACAATATACAGTAGGATTCATAGTTTCTAGCTGAGTATAAATCGAAAGAAACTTTTAGTTTTATCAAATGTAGCAAACATTTATCATTTTGATGAGCTGAATGAGTGCTTTTTAACGAAGAATTTAATTTGATCCCTTGTTTTCCTGAGCTTTTCGGCAATTGTTATTGTTCGATTCGCTACTGTTGAGGGAAGCCGCTACCACTCAACCGATAGTAACGAATTTCCGCTTGAACGCATGTCTCACACGTGTGTTTACTACTCCGTCTAAATCAGCTTGTTACAGATGAGATCTTAATTGGCGTCTGAGTTTATTTTTGCCCTCTTCTTCTAATCTTTGAAAGATCTGAAAACGCCATGAAGTTTGAGCTAGCAAAACAGCTGGTATTTATTATAGCAGCGAAGACTCCGCCGTTGGTGCGGAACACTGACTTTACTCTTTGTTATCGATATAGTATCTGTAAACGGATTAATCTCACCCAAACTCTCTGAGGGCCAGAAACCGCTAGTAATCGCATACCACCTTCAGCTTGTACTGTGATGATAAAAACAGTAGGTCATCCTGTCTTCCTTGGGCTACTCTGGTAATTTTTCGAAGTTTTCTTTGAGAAAATCGTCATCTGGTTTCCCAGTGTAACGTCAAGCTCATCCAGGGTGTCTCCTCAACGTAGTGATTGCCATGAATGTACTTAGACTTTTGTGTCCCCTAACTAGGCGCTCATTAACACAAATAGCTCGTGCCCTTCCTATACCCTCACAATACAGGAGTAGGTCTAATTGTAAGTTATACTAGAGGGAGACATTTGAGACAAGGTGCAGCTAATCTAATGCCAAAAAACTGAAACGTGCCCTACTCCCCCATGCAGCCTCATTGGACATCTATGCGTTTTCCCCAACGTTTAACAACGTTTCTCGGAGTGAGAAAAAGGTTTTTGTTACATGTGTGACCGATTTTCGCTCGACCACATTCTCCCAGATGGACGGATGACATGGGAACCTGGATGTCCAATCGTCCACGGACAGCTTAGAGCTGGCTTCAAACGATTTCCATATGTTTAGGCTCATAAGGATGATTTATGGGAAGAAAGGCCGCAACCGATGAACGCTCCTTCACTATCTCGCGGGATCAGTTACAGATGTGACCGAAAACAGTTCTTTCAACGGAATCGGAAATCTTGTGGAACGCTGGGAAAAAAACTTCTCATTCACTTTCTGATTCCCTTAGCGAGTGCTGTTATACTAGCCACATTAAAGTTGATAGATCTTGTTTGGTAGGAATCAGTTGAAGCTTGATGATCCTGTTAAGGATGCCATCAAAAACGACGTTATCTCGCACTAGCGTTCTTTCCAGACTGTGGTGAATCGCACCGATGAATGGATCAAAGATGAGCGAAGAAATGACGTCCCCTCACGTGACGTACGTCATGATGCCCGGCCTTAGGACTACTACGTACTGATGAAAGGATGAAAGGATAAGGTTCCTGGAAGTTAATCAATTCCACTTGTGGGATGCGCCCACGCATTCTACTTGTATTCAGAATCATAGTGTTGTTTTGATTGCGCATTGAAACTATGCATTGACTCGAGGTGGTCAGCTGATATACAAGTCAGTGATGTTATCTTCATAGATGAATCTGGCATCAATAAACGGATTCCGAAAGGATGGCCTGGGCGAGTATCGATCCGGGTTTCAATCCTCGGACCTGCGTAGGAAGTGACTCCCTGGCACTGAATCTGATCGCGAGTCGATACCGTACCAAACTGATAACAGTAATCCGGTTAGTTCCCCTTAGTAGTTTGACACCGTGCCAACAAAGTAGTAACGGCTTTGTTTCACCATAGACCTTTGAGTGAATGAAAACAGTTTAAAGAGAACTTCTGGTGCTCGCAATCTGATGGTAATCCTTTTGAGAGGTGGATGAACCGGTAAACGGTGAATCAAAGCCGCATAAGATCACAGGCGCTCATTTTCCTTGATGAACTATCGACGGAGGTTCAAGCCATTGAGTTACCAAGACGTGCCGTGCGTTCCACTTCTCCAGGGACGGACTTCACCATGAGTATTTCATTTTTCCCAAGGAATAGATACATTTCGTGATGAAAGCATTTACTTTTCCCATGTTCAGCTATAAATTTATAATAATGAGGTGGGAATACATGAAGCAAAAACCCAGAGCTCCGAGAGAATGTTCGTTGTGACTAGCCGTAATGGAAGATTACCATCGAAACTAGACCATTTGACCGTTACAAGACACTCCATGACTTCAACGATAAGGATGGAGGGTCCCGATTAGATAACCGTGCCCTAGGCAGCGGCGTCGTATGATTCTAACCCCTGTTCACAAGGCCTTCTCATCATGCATGCTTATAGATTATAGTACCAGCTGGAGGAATTACGCATTAGATTTGATCCAATAAATACAAAGAAATTTCACCTGATAATAATAAACTGGAAAAGCAGCTGTAGAGCGAAAAAGGGAAGCATGAGCGCAGTTTACGCAAACAATCAAATAGCTTTCGGATAGGATTGGCTTTCGCAGGTGTTACATAAGGAAAATATCAATTATTTCTTGAAAATATCCCTAGTTCGTTACCGAATGACTTCAGAAGAACAATGAACCTCTTTGTTGTTGTGAGACTTCCTGAAAGGCCTTTCCGAGAAGTATTTTCAGTTCAATTTGAAGGCAAGGTTTGACAAAGTGGCATAAACAAGTGCTACCTATGCCCATTATGGGCCCACAAAATCTTGAAAAAAAGTGACGTCACTTAAAATTATTTCTGCGAAATTTGCTTTGTGCTTACAGAGACACTCGAAGTCAGGAAAAAGCATTGAACAATCTCTCTTTCGAAACTAGGGATACCTGGAAAAAAGTCAGACACTGACCGGTGCCTTCTTATAATGCGCCATGCAATCAGCTTTCATTTGGAATCGCAGAAGCTGAAGAATACCCATTCAACATCTGGGATGACTTACGGGATCCAACGGTTGCACGCCATTGTTTTCATCACCACTTTTCATTTCGAATCCCATTAGAATCTGACTCAGAGAATTCAAAGAGTCTGTTTAGTTGATGGTCTCCGCTGAATTGAAGCAACATCTCTTTGCTCTATGTTCACCTATGAGGACAAAATGGAACAAATCGTATTACTGATATACTGTATTTTCGAAAGGAAAATGTTGTATGGTGACAAGTGACGCAAACCGTTTGCGTGATCCCAGGATCGAGTTCTGGAGCACAGCAGGTTCGGGCTAGCCAAGATAACTATTTCTCTGGCGCCGGTTAATTGCTATCAGATTCGTCTAGAAAGTATCTAAAAACTACCCGAGTCCTTATATTGGCCACATATGCGTTCAGTACGCTACTGCAATACCGAACAGTCAAATGCGGGGCCCACCCATGTAAATATAAAGGTTATCCTCTCAACGTCCTGAGAATCTTCCAAGCAGCCAGCTCAATATGGGAATCCTCTAGCACTCTTATAAGCTCTTGATAAATCCAAGTAGAATCCCATTTATTGATCTCGAATTTGGGAAGGACGTCTGTTATCCTGTATCCTATCAGAGTAGAGCCCAACCATGGGAGCTGCAGTATTTAAGCTCTTTTTAGAGGAAATACTGCTTAATGGTGTTTCCGTACGAAATTTGATACACGTATTAGAGCTATCTTGAAAAACATCGTAACTGACAGTTTCCTGCATGCAAGAATAGCATTTTTAGACAGCAGGAGACCCAAAAGTCGATGAAATTCTATTCCCTATGGTAATGTGGTTTGAGTGGAAAAACGTTCGCATCCACGGTTCATCAGAGTGGAAATCAAATGAGCATAGTACAAGTACATAGATTGTTCAAACGGGGAAGCATAGGGGCTATCCAAATCCCTAATGGCACTCTGATGATTATGGTAACATGGACCAACCGTATAAGAGATTCTGGTCCTAAAACGAGAGTCACAGAACTTTTATAAACCGAGTTATTCGAATTCACCTTGAGCTACCCCAAAGTTATCAGAGAGCAAGGGAAAAGTACTGCCAGCTCCGTAAGGTCTATGCTCAGATGGAGGGAAAAATCGTCGAAGCGTCTTTCTGAAAGCTCTAAAGGGAGATTTTACCTGAAGGCTTTCATACGTTTGATCCAAGCGGCTGGATACGATTCAACCAAGCCAACCCCAAACCACAGCAAACATTACCTCGGTTTCATTGAGGTCAAAGGGTGTTGAAATATCTGACAACGAACGGTTCTTGTGCGTCCAGGATTTTTATTCCCACAAATCGTATCTATCTGGGCAGGGCACTCACAATGAAGTACTCTGCCTTCTCATACTCATGCCTTACGGTTAGCTTCCAAGAGTGCAACTGCAACCGCCTCTCTCCTTCAAACCAATTTTCGAAATTTTCCGCGGTATTTTCTACAGCTTACACAGATTGGACGTTGCACGAAATACACGGTTCGTCGGAATCCACAAGTCTTCTTGACTTACGGTATCAACAAGGCTGCTCCAGCAAGCACCGACTTTTTTTTACTTCAGAAAGATGAGTTCAATTCTTGGTACCCTAATAAGGACAGAAGGAAGCATGGTCGGTTTGGCTTTTTTGCCACAAAGCGATTATTCGACTAGTTATTGCATTGCGTCGATGTTCCCCTCGATTGCGGGCACGTGAGGTAGCGGAGAGCCCTCCACCATCATATTTCACTCATTTTCTGAAGCGGCGAGAGCATCGGGACAATTCTGTCCAAGCTGGACATCTCGAAATATATGAGAGCTTCGATGGATCGTGCACGAGTTTTAGTGGGGAAAACGTAGGGAGCGCGAGGAGACAACAAATCCCTCGAAGTTTCGCTCGAAGGAGTCTAGAACAGCGATGGCTTATCCTGTTGTTTACTCCCGTAGCAAATTTTTTCACGAGAGAGATGAAACTTTATGTGTGAAACAACCTAACACTGCCCTCGAAGAGCAAATTCACAGCAAAAACACTGGATGATGTTCACGATAAAGGAGCCACAGCCTAGCCTAGCCAGGCTCCCATAAAGAGGAAGAGCTATGAGAAGGGCATGTCTATTTGAAGGTTGATGGGTATCTTCAAGCAATCGAACAAAAACTTGAACTTTTTGATATTCAGTACTGATCATCTTTTTCGACGGTATAACTCTTCATTTGAGAAGCCTTCTATCAGGCTTTCCTACTTCTGGTATAAACCTTTACAATGAACTTCAATGAGTTCCCCAGCTGAGCTGATTTCACCTCGTTTCTGGACAACTTCTATCCTTCCATTGTTTCTACCTAGAGCTTTCCTTCCCATCGCTTCCAACCAGGATGCTTCGAATTCGTGTTCAGCAGTGACTCTGAAGCTGATCTTGCCTGGGAAGGGTGCCCTAACCGAATGGCCACAACTTATTTCCTGCAACCTAGTCCATTTCACAAAAACAACTCAGTCGTCTACGATCTTTCACTTTCTTTCCGCTTGCATGAGTCTTATGGCTGAAATTCGTCTACCCCTCTATCCACTTTTCTCAACACGCTTAGCTCGTTTTTGAATTGCCCTGAGTAGGACGGCTATTTCCCCAAGTTGACACACTCTGAAGTGTACTTCGAACAAATAAGCGAGCATTTGGATAAATGTTCTCCACAAGGCACTTACGATTCCGACTTGATTCAGTGCTACTCCATCGTGTTCTGTTTTCGTGGTCACAATAATTACAAATAAAAAAAAACAAATAAAGAGATTGCCCAGTACTTTTCAGAGTTTTCGCCAAGTCACAAAGTTGGCTTCCAGTGAGCTTGTGGGAGTTTTCAACTGATTCATCATCATACGGGAGCGATAGCGATGTTTGAGTGAAGGCATTCACTCTTGGAGATGAAACTTGTGGAAGAATACCGAATTTTGTGGGATTAAAGGCTTGGTAGACTGGCCGACGTTGAATGAAGGAAACGGCGAGATAAGCACCCTTCCAACCTTTCCATTGTTTCAAAACAGCAACCATCGCCATGGCGCGTTCCAGCTTACCTCCTTTCCGAAATTTTTTCAAAAGATCTTTCCCGTATTTGAATACACCTATGTCCCTGTACATTGATGAGATTCCTTAGTGACGTCGCGCATACAGTAGGNNNCTCATACTCATGCCTTACGGTTAGCTTCCAAGAGTGCACCTGCGACCGCCTCTCTCCTTCAAACCAATTTTCGAAATTTTCCGAGGTATTTTCTACAGCTTACACAGATTGGACGTTACACG